CTATACATCAATAATACTAGATTCAGTTTTGGTTTGAAATTTATTTTGTCTGCAAATAAGATTGCTACCCCTGTTTTTTTCTGGGGTTAGCCAGCTTTTTAATAGGATATTCCTTTGTTGAAATTTGTCTGATTTTTGTTTTTTTGTTTTTGTGGTGCTGGGATTCAGACGCAGGGCCTCATACTTGCTAGATAAGTGGTCTACACTGAGCTTCATCTTCAGTCAGTTTTGGTTTGAAATTTATTTTGTCTGCAAATAAGATTGCTACCCCTGTTTTTTTCTGGGGTTAGCCAGCTTTTTAATAGGATATTCCTTTGTTGAAATTTGTCTGATTTTTGTTTTTTTGTTTTTGTGGTGCTGGGATTCAGACGCAGGGCCTCATACTTGCTAGATAAGTGGTCTACACTGAGCTTCATCTTCAGTCCTGCTGATATTTTTTCTTACAATTTGACTGGGATTGTAGGTTTTTTGAAATTAATCTCTGTGAGGAAGTACTGTAAATCTGGAATGCCTAAAACATAAGGCTGCAATGGCTGAGATGAAAAACTGGTCCTGAAAACCTGTTGTGCAGTATCTGGCATAGCATAAATATATACTAATGAACTAACCCTAAATGCCATCCCTACACCTTTTTTGTGTTTTAGAGCATTTTAAAATTTTTGCTCACTTCATTGCCATTCCTCATAAAATTTTTTAATTTTTTTATAGAAACATTTTACCTACTCTTTAATAAATTCTTAAGTATTTTTATAAAATAAACTTACCTAGGCCTTAGTCTTACTGGATTTAGAGGTACCACCCACAATTAGGATAGGATCTTTAATTCTACATGCACTTTTATCAGTGAGAAGAGTGTTTTTGAAGTTTGCAGCAATAAGGACATAGAAATAAGTTGAGATTTCATTGAAATTGTTTTCCCTATGGTGTCAGTGAGAAAATTTCACTTGTATTAGTTTATCTGTATAGCATTGATTCCATCCCACGGCTACTTTTATCTAGCAAAATTAAAACTCTTCTTTAAACAGAAGTTGGCAGGAAAAAATAAATTTCTACCTAATTCTGGGAAGGTCTTAAGTATTAGGATGAAAATATGTATTTTCTACAACGCCTTCTGATAATCATAGCAGACATAATTATGGAGATTTTTGCTTGGGAATAAAATGCCACAATTTAAAGATTTTTTAAATCATAATTTTGATATTATTCCTGAGATCCTAATGTAGAAGAAAAGATGTGAATTATCTGTTTGCTGGCATTTTATGGAAGGGGATGAGGCAGAGAGAATGGAATTTTGGCCTCAGAGGGTCAGAGATGTTTATTCAACTGCCTGGAGATTTTTGTCTATTACTGGGCCCTGTTCTATTACATTGATCTGTTTTTCTGTTGTTTGCCAATACTACACTGTCTTGATTCCTATAGTTTCATAGTCATTTTTTAAATTGGTTGTTGTAGGCTCTTGAGATTTGTTTACTCTTCTTGAGACTAACTGTTGTAGAGCTTTTGCATTCCCATATGAACTATTTTGGGGGATGGTACAGGGGATTAAAACTCAGGACCTTGTGTTTGTGAGGCAGGCGGCAGCACCACTGAGCTAAATCCCCAGCCCTCCCATATGAACTTTATAATCATTTGAACAGTTTGTGTTTTAAAAAGACTGCTAGGCTTATGTCTGGGCTTGGATTGAATGTATTATTTGAGGAAAATTAACATCTTCACATTGGTTCTTCTTGCCAAGTATTCTTTGTATCTTTCCATTGTTTAGCTTTTCTTGATTCTCTCTCAACAGAGTATTAGTTGTACATCTTGTTAAATTTATTGCTATTTTACTTTCATGTTGTTTACTTCTGGGTTTTACAAATGTAATTTATCTTTGTGTATTCACCTTCTATACTGAGACTTTTTTTATCCCCTCAGGCTTTCTTTCATATGGCATATGAGTAGAGTCCAGGATCAAGCCTCTAAAAATTGGGCTGAGCCAGGTATGGCAGTGCATGCTTGTAATCCAGGCACTCAGGATGCTGAGGCAAAAGAATTGTCATGAGTTTGAGTCTAGCCTGGGCTACCTGTTGAGTTCAAGGCTAGCCTGCACTGTATTGCAAGACCTGGTCTCAAAACAACAGCGAGATAATAATAAAGAAAATAATTGGATTGAAATAAAAAGTTACTTAAATTCATATTAAAATATGAATGGCTGAATATGTTTTCTATCCTCAAAATTATTTCTTGGGGAGCATCAGAGATATTTACCTAGGTCCTTTCCTTTTTTAATTTTTTTTTTTTGAGATAGGGTCTTACTGTGTAGCTCAGACTCGTCTCAAACTCAGTGATCCTCTTGCCTCAGCCTCCCAAGTGCTGGGATTTACAGGAGTGTACCACCAGGACAGCTTGCCTAGGGTTGTTTTGTTTTGTTTGAGACAGACTAGTCTTGACTAGTCTTAGTTTAGTCCAGACTAGTCTTGTATTCAGTGAGTCGCCATGCTAGCCTAGAACTCACATCGATCCTCATGCCTCAGCCTCCTGAGTGCTGGGATTACAGGCATGTGCTCCTAGATCTCCATACCCAGCTCCTAGGTCCTTTCTAATTGATAGAATCTCTTACATTTGTTTAGTATTTATTGAATCTTTGCCAGAAATAGAAAAAGTAATTAGATACTGTTTTTGCTCCTGGAGATTGTGCTCATAAGTAAGGAAATTGCCAGCATTCACTATAATTGACTTAGTGGTACTTTCTGAAAAATGCCAACACAAAGTAGAAAGTGGGGGATCTTTGGGATTTCCCTGCCTATGAAGTGGAGAGGTCTGATCCTGAGATGAGTTTCATAACAGCTTCTCATGTTCCTTCTTTCTTACTCTTCAACAGTCTAGTTCATATATCCCTCATACTCCTCTTAGGACTCTTTTCTTTTTTTTCCAGGCTTTCTACCCTTAGGGATTACTTTGATTCACTAAGTGAAGTGGACCTGAATCTAGTAGAGTTCTTTTTGTTAAGGCCCACCCAAGTAAATATCTGCTTGGCTTTTTGTGAATTAGGGAGTCCACATAGTTGATTGCTTTCCTTCGTCCTGTCTGTTCATTTTCCTCAGTTTAACTAAAGAAAAAGTCTTTTCCTGTATTCTTTTTTTTGGTACCGGAGATTGAACTTGGGTCCCTGTGCTTGAAAAGCAGGCGGCGTACCACTTAACTAAATCCCCAGCCCTGTATTCTTAATGTGAAGAGATTGTTTATGACTAGAGAAGGTCATGTCATCAAGCTATAAGGTTTTTAATTATGGTTAGTAGAACTGCTGCAGATGATTTCCCTTTAATTGTAGTTCTCTGTAATAAAAACAGTTGCCTGAGAACTCAATGTAATGTCTCTTTTTTTCTTTTTATTTCAGTTGGAAAGACGTCCTTGATCACCAGATTTATGTATGACAGTTTTGACAACACCTATCAGGTATTTTATTTTTGTTAATTTATTAATTGTCTATTTCGTGTTAAAATACTTTTTCAAGGTATTTTAAAAAATTAATTAAAAGCAGTCATGAATGTAAAAGCACTTCCTATAGTCTGTAAGGTGCTACATTACTACAAAGTAAAAAGGATTTTTGCCCTCAGTCGTTAGCCTTATTTAATTAGTCTCCTTTTCTAAAATTTTAAAAAAATTGTCTCTAATGCCATTTGGGAGGTTATTAGAATTGATGGTAGGTATTCTCTTACAGAGAATTCATCCAAATACAGGATTCTGAAAAAGAAAAGAAAAGCTGGGCATGGTGGCTCATGCCTATAATCCCAGCACTCAGAGGCTGAGACAGGAGGATTGCTGTGAGTTCAAGATCAGTCTCAACTACATAGTGAGACCCTGTCTCAAAAAAAAAAAAAAAAAAAAAAAAGACAGACAATAAGTAATAAAATTAGAAATAATTTTGAGAAATTCACTAATAGGTAGAATGAAAAAGTCTGCTCCTAAGTAATAAATGTCAAAGAAAAGAATCACAAAGGAAATTGGAAAATATTTTGAGATGAATAAAAAAATACAACATAACAAACTTACAAGAGATAGCTAACCTAATGTTATAAAGTAAAGAAGAAAGATACTAAATTAATGAGCTAATTTTCCATCCTAAGAAGCCAGAAAAAGAAAAGGAAAAAAAAAAAAACAACTTAAAAGCAAGCAGAAGGAAAAGGCAACTGTAAAAGGTAGATTTTTATTATTCATGTTATGGTGAGCCCAGTAAATACTGTATATCAGAAGATTGCCATTGAAAATATATTTTGTGGGCCGGGGATTTAGCTCAGTGGTTTGGTGGCCTGCCTTGCAAGCGCAAGGACTAGAGTTCAGTCCCAGGTACCAAAAAAAAAAACAACAACAAAAAAAAGAAAATATATTTTGTTACACTCACAGATCTCAGGAAAAGGAAGTATGCTATACTACAGGAGGGCCACATAGGAAAGCATCAGGGTCATTAAGAAGTGTGCTAGAAATGTGGAAGATTAGGTTTTTTAATGTCTTGATGTTTCACCACAGACAAATGGTGTTTGAGGTGCTTGATAAGCTAATACCTGATATGATCATTATATAAATACGTACCAAGCAGGTTGTACCCTGTAAATTTGTGCAGTTATTATGTGTCAGTTTAAAATTACACCCTCATAAAACCTGGTCTGGTGCATGCCTGTAATCCCAGCACTTGGAAGGCTGAGGTAGGAGGATCCTCATGAGTTCAAGGCCAGCCTGGACTACATAGGGAGTTCAAGATATGCGCACCTATGTTTATAGTGGCATAGTTTGTAAAAGCTAAAACTTGGATACAGCCCAAATACCCATCAACTGGAGACTGGATAAAGAAGATGTGGTTTTTCTATAGAATGGAGTACTACTCAGCCATAAAGAATGAGAAACTAGAGACCTTTATAGCTAAATGGATGTACATTGAGGCCATATTCTTAAGTGAAGTAAATAGGACACACGTGTAAATACTGACTAGTTTCTCTGGTGTGAAAAGCTAAAAGTATAAATAAGGTTCAAATTGTATAATTGATAATGTGAAATAGGAAGAAAAGGTCTAAAGGAGTAGGGGAAATGGGAAGGGTAGGAGAAAGGAAAGAAGGGAAAACAAAAAATATGAGAAAAGGAAACAAAGTCTTTGTAAGTAGGGAAGGGAGGAGGGGGTGAAGGGAGGGTGGGGATATGGGGAAAACATACGAACCAAGATTCATCATGTAAAGGTACAAGATCCTAATGATGAATGTAATTGTACTGCATACCTAAAAAGTACCAATAAATTTAATGGGAAAAAAAACAAAAACTACATAGTGAGGGCTGGGGATTTTAGCTCAGGGGCACAGCACCTGCCTGGAAAGTGCAAGGTCCTAAGTTCGATCCCTGGTCCCAACAAAAACAACAGCAACAGCAACAACAAAATGTGAGAAAATGAAAAGATGGAAATAAAGTGTTTGTAAATGCGGAGGGGAGGAGTGGGTGAAGGGAGGGCAGGGACAAGGGGAATATATGAGAACCAAGACCTGTCAGGTAAAGGTACAAGATCCCAATAATGAATGTAATTGTACTGTATACTTAAAATGTATCAATAAACTCAGTTAAAAAACAACAACAACAACAAAAATAGCAAGACCCTGTCTCAAAACGAACGCCCTCAGTAAACTAGGAGTAGAGAGGAATCTTTCTTAACATGATAAAAAGCATCTGTGAAATTACCACAGCTAACATACTTGATGAGAAGCTGTAAGATCAGAAACAAGACATAGATGTCAGTTCTTGCAAGTGCTTAATTATAAAACAAAGCAGAACAAAAAAAGGAACAAACAAAAAAGAATAATAATTTTAAGAACAAGCATTTACACTAACCCTCTGATGTTATAAATCTTCCATATTTCTAATATATTTTTGTTAAAAAATTTAAAAGGTATTCCTAATCTACTTAACCATTTTAAATCTGTATTACTATATAGTTAGCATAGAAACATGGATTTTAATTATTTCACCTTAGTATATCAGATGTTAGTCTGATTAAAGGAGTGATTAATTTCTGTCATTATTAACTATCACTTATTCACTGTCATTGTCTCAATTATTATCAGATTTCTTTATTCAGAAAGCTTTTAGGATAAATTTAATTGGAGTCCCTTTTTAGTGTATATTTTTCCACATTTGAAATGTTATTTCAGGAATACGCCTTCTGAGTTGAATCTTTCTTCATGAAAAATGTGGGCATTTTTTTTCTATAAAGGTTATATAGAGCCTTAGGGTTGAAAGGACCTTTATTTGCATCTTAGTTCTGACATTTAATACCTGGGTGGTTTGGTACCAATTATTTAAATTTTTTTTAATCTGCATTTTTACATCTGTAAAGTGAAAATTGTAATCCCTAAGGAATTACCTAATGATGCCTTCCTTTTTGGAAAAAAGCTTTATTTTGTGACTTATCATTTATCAGTTTAGAAAAACATTGTTTTGATTCTTTCTTTGAAGACTATAGCAGTTGTTTTCTCCATTCTAATCAGCATTTTAGGCAACTGTAATATTCATGTTATAGGTTTACTTGCCTCTACTTTCATTTCTATGATCTTTTTTTTGTGTGTGTGCGACTTAATGCATCTTTTTTTTTTCATTTCTATGATCTTAACCTCTAAAAGTCATTGATTCATACATTCCCTTCTTAGAACACAATATTTCTTAATTTTTTATCAAGATTAGTTTTCTTCCAGCAGTTTACATCGAAACCTCAGATCCATTAAGTTGTCTATATTATTTGTAAATATCAAGGGCCATGCTTTCTGTTTTACTTTCCCTTTTTCTGGTTTAGACGGCATTGGAAAATAACCTTAACTAATAGCTCTTTGGTTCAATTATGTCTATCTGAAAAATTCTATATTATAGTTGAATCCAGTCGTTTCTTTTCTTGCATACATTTGTGTCACAGATGTCAACGAGGTTGAAAGTTCTTCCAAGATGTAGCTACTTATGCCAATCTTTTCTTTCATTACTTTTTTTTTTTGGTATCAGGGATTATACTCATAACCTTGTGCTCATGGGGCAGGTGGTGGCACCACTGAGATAAATCTCCAGCCCTTCTCTCCTCATTCTAACAGATTCCTATCAAAAGCCATTCCCTAATTATGTTAAATCTCATCTTTTACATTTATCATTCCCAACTCCTTAATTATTCTTTACTTGATACAGTTTTTGTTTTATGTTGGACACTATTGTATCTCCCCGCTACACAATAGTAAACAAGCCTTATTCTCACGGAACTTTTAGTGGGGAGAAATTGCACAAATAAAGTTATTTAAATAATTAATTCATCTAGTCAGAAGTACTGTGAAGTGGCTTTAAGCAAAAGTGATCACAGTGTGATGACTGTGATCTTTAATTGCATAATTTGCAAGTCACAATTTGTTGTGTTTGTATGTTTGTAGGGATTGAACCTAGGGCCTTGTACATGCTTGGCAGGCATTCTACTGCTACTGCCGAGCTATCCTCCCCTTCCCTAGCCTTTTGAAGCTATAAAGCTACTGTACTTCTGGTTTGTTTGTTTGGTTGGTTTTGTTTTTTGAGACAGTCTCACTATGTAGTTTAGGCTGGCCTTGAACTTGAGCAATCCTCCTGCCTCAGCCTCCCAAGTGCTGGGATTATAAGCATGCACTGCCATGCTCAGTGAAGCTACTGTACTTTTGAATATGCTATTTTAATATGCTTTCACACCTGTTCATGTGAATGGAACTTCTACATCTGATTCAGTAATGCTTTAAGGTGTAGTACCCCCCTTATCTATAGCTTCAGTTACCAGTTACCACTTTGGTCTGAAAGTATTAAATGCAAAGTTTCAGAAATAACCCATTAAGTTTTAAATTGCAAACTGTTCTAAGTACTGGGATGAAATCTCTTTCTGTTCTATTCTATCCTTCCCAAGATATGAATCATCTCTTTGTCATTGTGTCCATACAGTATGCATTACCTGGTTGTTAGGCACTTAGTTACCACCTCAGTTGTCACATCAGCTGTCTTGTGCTACATTTGTGTTCACGTGACTTCACCAGAATTGGCTGGAACCTTGATTTTGGGCTTCAGCTTCCAACTCAAAAAAGCAAACAAAATAAAAACCATCAAGGAAAAAAATAGAAACTTCCTTAAACTTGATAAAAGCTGTTGTTTAACACATTCCTGCTGTCTTGAGCTGTTGGTGGTATGTGCATGAATGTCCTATCAGTTGCTTATAGCATCCAATGGCACTGTTCTGTTCCACCTAATAGGACAGTTGTATGTGTACCACCAGTTGAGTGGTTCAGAGTTGCCTAGCAGCAAAACATACAAATTACAGCCCTATCATCACCCTGTTAAGCCATTCAGATGAGATCAGATGCATTCAGAATGGTATGGCCATCCACCTCTGAAGCCATTCAGTCTGTGGTATTTTGAAGTGGCGGCCAAGTAGA